CAGCATCGTTTTTCGCGTTCGACATCTACAAATAGAAAGGACGAAGATAGATTAGAATTTGGATCCCTAATTATCACCCAATAAGAAAATTAGGGCTAGGATCCAACAACAATATTTACATATTAGAAAAGAGATGCCGTAATCTAACATGCAAACAATTTGAAGGTAAGTGAATGACGATTCACTAATTCTCCACCATGAAAACATAATTTTAAGTTCTAAATGTATTGAGAATTCCTAGGTTTGGATGAGATTCATTGAAACTTTTCAATGGCATGTTGAAATCTCGATATGCCCCTCTCGTTTGTGACTGGGATACCGAGGATCACAGTGGGTGTGAATTACCATGCAAATTCACATGGTGCTTTCATTGTAACAATCACCTATTCGATGTGCCGGTAAACCACACACGCTCCATCGAACTTTGATAAACAATGAATCACCCTTTGCCACTTTTTCTTAGAACCAATTAGTGTGCGGGTAAACCACACACGCTCCACTAACTTCTTAGCAAGGGTGCAAAGTGTAATTTCATGGGATTGCATCAATTCACTTTTCCTAAAGTAACTAGGATTGGGCATTTTTGAAAAACATGTAGTTACTTTGTATTTCATATTATACTTTTAATGAGGAGATGAGGTTGCCCTATCCTACCCGTTTGGCTAACGACCCTCCACCGATTAAGCAAGCGGTGGTTGTGAGTGTACACCCATTAAGGACCATTTTATAGGCAACAACCATATACCCACCTTATAGGCCGACTTCGTGAATGAGGCCTACTAACGGTAAGACTAGCTTTTTAATTATATATATATATATATATATATATATATATATATATATATATATATATATATATATATATATATTAATCTTGTAATATTATATTAGTATAGGGTTGAATTTTAAACTTGTAAAATTCTAGGGTTTGAAATTTAAATTGTCTAAATTAAACTTTTAATCACAAAACATAAACTTCAAAACTTGAGGGCAGGTTTTAAACTTTTCAAAACATAGGGGATCAAATAAAAATAATCTAAATTAACATTTAATCACATAATTATCCATATTTCTTTTATTTAATTATTTCTTGCAAAACAATTTACCAATTTAATTAAAATAATCAATCAATTATCACATAAGGAAACTAATATTTAATTAATTGATAAATATCTTCAATTAGGTCAAGGGTATACTCAAATATATCTTAAAATCGGATTTATGTTGACCTAATATGATTAAGGCAAGTATCCAAAGGATAAACAACAAGAAATCCCGAAATTAGCTCTTTCTGACGCTCGAACTCGCCGAGTACCACAATGGACTCGCCGAGTTGATGCCTACTCGCCGAGTCCACTATGGAACTCACCGAGTTCATCAGGCAGGAACACAAATTCAAATTTTGCAAGCATCAAACAAGCCATCAATGCATCAATTCAATAGAAACCAATCTAGGCTCTGATGCCACTGATGGGTTTTAGCCGTATGAACATTCCTATGTGCACATACAAAACCCTAATGCTTGGATCTAGGTTTCTCTAATTGAACATGCATGAATCCAAGACTTCTAATGGTTATTCTATCATAATAACCTTGAGAAATCAGAGTTATAAGTTTACCTTGAATCACTTGCTTGATCTTCTTGTCCTTGGAGCTTTAGAGTCACAATTGTCACTCCTCTAATGGTTTACGAACACCAACTAGCAAGTGGATGATTTGAGAGAGCAAGGAGGGAACCAAAAATCGGCCAGGGTTCTTCCAAGAGTAAGAGTCAGGATTTCATTAACCATGTGGGTCTATTTATACTTGTAAGGCTCCTAGGGTTTCACATTTAAAACCTAATTGGATAACTTAGGCCCTAAGAAATCCTAATCCCCTTCATGATAAGCCTTGGATGGATTTTAGGTCTATCCTAAGCCGCTAAAATCATCCACCCCTTATCCATAAGGGATTACAGCCTAAAGTACAACTATCATACACTTGACAGTTTATGCCCTTCTAGTTAATTAATCTCTTTAAGTCACCAAATTAATTCCTAATTAATTTATGACTTATATTAATCAAATAACAATAAATATTATTCCTTATAATATTTTAACTCTCATTGTAAATCATCCTGTCAAGTTGCTATGGTGAAGGCAACCCAAATGGACCATGCTCAATCGAGTCAAGTACTTACTAAATATAGTTGCAGCCTTAGACACTATTCCAACACTAAGATCCAATCCAGACAACACCATTTTGTGTTGAAGACAACAATGATGGTACAACTATTTTCAAAAGGATGTATATATGTTTCAAATCAATCAAAGAAGGGTGGAAGATGGGTTGCAGAAGGGTAGTAGGGATTGATGGATCTTTTATGAAAGGGCAGTGTAAGGGACAATTATTAACAACCATAGGTAGGGACCCAAACAATCATGTTTTTCCCATAGCTTGGGCTGTAGTTGTGACAACCCGATATTTCGAGATAATGTAATGTAAAAACCAATCAAATTTAGGTCAACATATAACTTTCCTAAAATCTTATTTGGGTTAAATAAAGTAGTAGGAATCGTATCAAGGTTTTCGTACATATAAAGAACCCTACAATCTGAGTTATAACGAAGAAGTTATGACCAATCGAAGGTTCTCGGCAAAACCGGCAACACCGATTAAACGAAAAAAAAACGCGAAGTTTCAATACAATAGTTTTTAGCCTTAAGTATCTAAATGAAAGTTATAGATAACCTCAAACCGTGAGCATACATAAAAAGAACGTCCAAATCTGACTTCGTATGAGGAAGTTATGATTTTTCCAAGATTCGGGTATAGTAGTAGACAACTAAAAACTCGAAATAGAGCTCGAGATACTTTTGAACAAAACAACCTAAATGAGAATCTAAGGTCTCAACATTAGTAGCGCAACAATATAAAGTCTGACGAAAACGGACATCGGATGAAGAAGTTATGGATTTTTAAAGGAATTATCGCGTCCCGGCCCGTTAAAAATAAATAATTAAAAATAAGGTCAAAATTTGCCAATGAAGTCTAAACGAGAGTTGTAGATCATGTTTTTAGCTACGCGTGCATATAAAGAACGTCGAAAATGGAGCTCATATGCAAAAGTTACGGATTTTACAAGTTCGGGGTCCAAAATCCGAGGTTGTCAGGCCCCCACGACGTGGCACAGCTTGGCCGCGACCCAGCAAGTGACTGAGAGCGTCCCATCAACGGAAGAGGATAAGGCTTGCTCCCCACGACGTGGCCAACCTTAGCCACGATGTGGCACACCAGAAACAACCCTATAAATAGAACTCTTGGGGTGCCGAGTTTAGGTGCTCCAATCTTCTCTTTCTCGCGCCGAAACTCTGCGTTTAAGCCCCCGAGACCCTCCCAAAGCCCCGGTTTTTCACCTTCAATTCCCAAAGGAAGGTTTTGTGTTCCCGAGATTCCCGAGATTCCCGAGAATCCTGAGATTTCCCGCGTTTTCAACTCTTCCTGTCGAAGTTCTGCTCGATTCTTCTCTCGACTACTTCAAATCAACCACTTCAATCAAGTGAGTTCATACCCCTTTCAAACACACTTTAAATACATTTTAAATGCTTTTATACTCTTTTAGGGGGGGGAATTCAAGTAAGCATACGGTTATTATCGTGTATTTTATAAAGTTTCACTTCACTTGTTTTACCAAATAAATCACTTGGAACTCATTACTATTATGGAAAACTCCTGTCATACTTTGTGTGCATTAGACTTATGCAAAGTGTATAATGATTTCAAAGTACCTTTCATTGTTAAGTCGTTTTATACATTCTAAAAACTTATGATTTATGCTTTGTCAAACATTGTGAAAAAGGATAAACTTTGCATACAAAACTATCACTTTAATGCGGACTTAGTTGAGAATCCATGAGACGTGTATATCTTCAAACGTTACTTTTCTTTATTAGAAAGTAATGCTGCAAGTCCTGTCTATAACCAGAGTCTCCCGTTCGGAGAACATGTCAAATGTGTATAGATCTATATGGGAAGTCATGATCCCGCGCCCTGACTATTAGTTACAGTTCATCCTTTGGGGTGACAGTTGTCATAACGCTGCGACGCCTGAAGAACGTCGTTACAGGCATATTATGTTTAGTATGGTTATAAAACTCATCGGATATACAATTATTATGGTATTATGCTTTTATGAACGAGTGACTGTTAAAACTCTTCTTCAGCTAACAAACGCGATCTTCGTATAGCTTTATTATATAAAACTATGACACAACTTTTAAGAACGTCGTTTTCTTGCGATTTTCGGTCTTAGAGACTGCCAGCCATGTTAGGAAAATAAGGGTTTTTCCTGTATACAAACCAAACAACTAATAGGAAGATAAGGGATTTTCCTGGTGCAATTATTTACAACTTATGACACGAACATTCATATGCATTTCATACTTTTATAAGAAAATAAGGGTTTTATTGGAAGATACAACAAATCATATCTCATCCATTAGGGAAAATATGGGATTTTCTGGATCTAATACATTCATTTTCAATACAACAAGTCACAACTCTTCACACTTGAAATACTGAGTTTTTCTGGAAAACATACACCCATTTTGGAATGGCATCCAATTTTTCTAAACTACTTATGAACTCACCAACATAATTGTTGACACTTTTTCTTTGAAATAACTTGTATTCTCAGGGAACCGCTAAGCAGGTTTGGGAATCAACTTTTGGGATTAACACGCTGGCGTTAATTACTTCTTTTGAATGATGTTTATGTATTTATCTTTTAAACATGTAATGAATACAATTATGTAAACATCTTGGAAACTTTAATATATATGGTGGTGTGTACTTTCCTTTCTATGAACTGTTATGATACTGAATATGACGTCCTCCGCCCCCGAACGTTTCCGCCGTTCTGGTTTGGGGGTGTGACAGTAGTTGACATTGAGAATAAGTTTAAATTTAAGTGGTTCCTTCAGTTGTTAGAGGTTGACCTTGGAATGAATGCAGGTAGGGGCATGTGTGTAATTTCATACCAACATAAGGGTCTTCTTGAGGCAATAAAGGAGGTGTTACCATATGTTTTGCATAGACAGTGTTCACAACATATCTATGCCAACTTGAGAAAAGTATATAGTGAAATTCAGTTAAGGAACCTATTCTGGAAGGCTGCCAAATCAACTGTAGAGGGTGAATTCAAGAATCACATGGATGCGATTAGACAGATTAGCCCAGGTGCTTATGAACATCTAATGACAAGGGAGCCAAATACATGGTGCATGGCTTTCTTTTCCACTGGATTAGCCTGTGAGGATGTTGAAAATAGTATGGCAGAATGCTTCAATGCAGTTATACTTGATGCTAGGAAGAAGCCACTACTGACCATGCTTGATGAGATAAGGCTATATATGATGGACAGGTTTTACAACCTCAAGGAGTTAGCTAAAAAATGGGAAGGGGATGTCTGTCCATTTGCAATTAAGAAACTTGAAGAATTTGGTGAGGACTTAAAGTAAGTTCTCCTTGTTTTGTATACATTTATGCTAAGTTATTAATAACTTTTATGCTAATTTAGTAATAACTTTTATTTGCAGGTTTTGGAGGGTACACCCTAGTGGACACAATGAATTTGAAGTTAGAAATGGCCTTGAATCATATGGAGTCAACATAGAGAAAAGGAGTTGTGCATGTAGACTTTGGGATGTATCAGGGATACCATGTGTCCATGCCCAAGCATCTATCATGTTAACTCATCATGATCCAAAGACATTTATCAGTAAGTGGTTTGGTAAGGCAATGTACATTTCAAGTTATAGTTCTAACATTCTACCTGTTAATGGCAACAATTTATGGAGAGAATCTCCTTATATTAAGCCCTTACCCCCCATAGAGAGGAGGATGCCAGACAGGCCTACTGTGAAAAGGAAAAGGCATGTCTTAGGGAGGGATGACAAGTTCTCTCAAGTGTCCTCAAATAGCAGAACTGTCAAATGTCAAAATTGTCAAAAAAAGGGGCATAACAAGAAAACCTGTAAAAATCCACATGTTGAACCAGATCCTAAACCCAATAAGAAAATAGGCAGGCCAAGATTGGACCCTAGTCTAACCCAATGGACAAGACATAGTAGAGGGGGTCGAAGGGGAAATAGAGGAGGTGGTAGGGTACCCAGAGGTGGGGGTGGCTTTCATAGCTAGTTTGAAAGAGGTGAAACCTCAAATAAGTACCACCCCAAAAAAGGGTCAATGAAGAATACAAATCTGAAGAGATGGTGGATGTAGATGTGATGAGTGATGGAGATGGGCTGGATATGGAAGATATGGACTACATTACACAACAAATTACAGAGTTTAGGAAATCAAGTTACACTGATGTAGACATTAGGAGATGCCTTGGAATTACAAAAGCTCATTTAGAAGAGTTAGATATGTGGTAAGGTTTCATTTAGTGCTTATGTATATGATTAAGTGTTTCTTTTTTTTTTCTGTTTTAGGGTGCCAATGTTGAAGGTGGACTAGAAGGCGGTGGACAGGGTAATGAAGAAGAAGAAGGACATGGACAAGGAGATGAAGTGGAAGGAGGTGGAAATGGAACATGCAATGAAGAAGAAGAAGGATATGGGCAAGGAGATAAAGTGGAAGGAGGTGGAGATGGATAAGAAGGATAAAGAGATGGAGAAGAAGAAGATGGATAAGGAGATGAAGGAGATGGAAACGAAGAAGATGGAGGAGATGAAGGAGATGGACAAGAAGAAGATGGAGAAGGAGATAAAGGAGATGGAGAAGGGGATGAAGTGGAAGGAGTTGAAGCAGAAGATGTTCAAGGAAATGATGAAGGTGGAGAAGGAGTTGATGTGGAAGCTGAAGATGTTCAAGGAAATGAAGAAGGTGTTCCGGTACAACAAGGGCATTTTGGGAATAATAAGCAACAAAGAACAAGGAGACCCTTGGAGAGGATCATTCTTCAGAAGCTGAAAAAGAAGGTGGTTGACCCTCTTCGTATAGGAATGTGTGAAGATAACGCATTAGTTATAGATTAGGGATAGGGGTTATCATATTTTGGTTCATATTTTGTAAACCATCTTTTGGTTCATATTTTTCATACCAACTTTTGGTTCATATTTTGGATACCATCTTTTGGTTCATATTTTGTAAATGGTGGTACATATCCACTTATATTGGTTCATATTTTGGAAACAATAACTAGTAATTAAGCAAGGGCATTAAGCAATGGTCATAATTGGTCAATATCACATTTTATTTCAAGTTTGGTTGTGCAGGTTAGCCTTGATTATTGACAGTTTTATTATTCATATGTGGTTCATAGTTGTTGTACTTTGATTTCACCATAATTCAATACAACATTAGTAAAATGTTCATTACATTGCAAAAGAAACAACATCGTACATAGTTACTACATATCCCACTACATTATCTTAAAATACAAACCAAAACATAAACCCAAAATAAACCACAACATTGACTACCCTGGAACAACACCACCTGCACCTTGCACTTGAGCTGGAACAACTTCTACTACTGCTTCTTCCATTTGTTCTACAACATCTCCATTCCACCCATTGTGCAATTGTAAGAGCAAGTCCTTGTACTACTGATTAGGGAGTGGAGGATCCACCCAATCAAAGAATTTGCAATCTTTACTCGAATCCTGGATAATCCAAGATTAAAGAAAGAAAAAAAACTAAAAGATGAAGAATTTCAACATTAACAACTAACCCTATAATTTGGGCATCTAATGAATCTTCTTCCAGGATTTCCTATCTTCCATGAAGTCCACCTTCCAACTAAGTCACCACAGTCACAATGTGTCCTTTGAGGGGGATTGAACCTTTGCACAACCTTGCTTCGAACAGACGAAGAAGATGACATTCTCGTATTTTCCTTTAAAAAATACGAAGCTAGGGTTCATGGGGATTGATGGTATGATGGTTAAGTAAGGTCGAAAACTCCACATATGCCTCTCATTTAATAAATCAGTGGTCCACGTAAGCATTTGGTGCCACTTCACCAAGTAAAGCGGCTGCACCGGGAGAAAAGGTCAATCGGGTTAATAAATGCCAGTAATTCGGGCTTTTGTGTCAAAAAAAATTAGCTTGGGATTTTCGTGTCAGTTGGATGAAAATATCGGGACTTTACTATATATATCCCTACTTTTTATGGCAAAAAGTTAAATCACTTTTTTTTCCCAAATCTCTCTCTCTCTCTCTCTCTCTCTCTATATATATATATATATATATATATATATATATATATATATATATATATATATATATATCAACTTATTATTCTTTTTTTATTCTAACTTTATTGTAAAAGAAGATATTTAATTTTACCTTGGGAAATCTCCAATAAAGTCCTAAAATTTTAGCCCGATTTATCTTTTAGTCCTAAACTAATTTTTGTTTACGAAAAAGTCCCAAAAACCGGTAAAAGTTTGTATTTTGACCATTTTTGACTGGTTAGAACCGGTAACAAATTAATTTAGGACTATTTCAAAAATTGATCCAAAATATTGGGATTTTTCTGCAAAAACAAAAAATATTAAGGTTTTTCTGCAAACAAAAACCTTATTATTATTATATTAAAAATATAAATAAGTATAGTATTTTTTATATTTGTTATTATTAATATTATTAATAATACATATAAATACATTTAAATTAAAAAAAATATTAAATACATTTTATAAAGGTGAAGGTTGAGCGGATGGTAATGCTTTATGCTTTGTAATCATGAATGTTTGTTTGTATATTCTAACTTTATATATAGTCATTTCACATTTGTTATTATTGTTTTTAATTCAGAATATTAACATTTAACAATTTAAAAGAAGCTACTGATTTTTCAAATTGTTTACAAATAGTGAGCATGTGATATGCATGTATGTCTTGTGTGTAAGTATTTTTGAATTACCAACATGTGTGTTACTCTTTTTCATTACTTTATCCTTGTGGTTATTTTGGAAACATAGCAGATAATGATAAAGAAAAATAAATCATAATACTTTCTATTAAATAAGATATTTTAATTAATATTTTCGAATTTTGATATGGGCCACCAATGTAAATATTTATTACGGATCTATTGGATTTGAAAAGAAATCATTCTACCTTAAGAAATTTTATATACAAAGTGAGAAATCCTTTTATCTTAAACTATTTATACATAATTTTATAAATAGGCAACTTCTTTTAAATTGTTAAGTGTTAATATTTTGAATTGAAAACAATAATAAGAAATGTGAAATGATCATATACAAAGTGAGAACATACAAGCAGTGATTTCAATGCTTAAAGCATTAGCATCACCACCACCTTCACCTTTAAATAATTTCTTTAATATATTTTTATTTAAGTGTAATTATATGTATTATTAAAAATATTAATAATAATGAATTTAAAAATTAGTATACTTGTTAATAATAATAATAATAATAATAATAATAATAATAATAAGGTTTTTGTGTGCAGAAAAGTCCTAATATTTTTTTTGCAGAAAAAATCACAATATTTTATGTCATTTTGTGAAATAGTCCCAATATTTTAGGTTAATTTATGAAATAGTCCCAAATTAATTTGTTACCGGTTCTAACCGGTCAAAAGGGGTCAAAATGCATACTTTTGCCGGTTTTTAGGACTTTTTCGTAAACAAAAATTAGTTTAGGACTATAATATAAACTGGGCCAAAATTTTAGGATTTTATTGGAGATTTCCCTTTTACCTTTTAAATTCAACAAGAATAAAATGTGTGTGTGCATATATATATATATATATATATATATATATATATATATATATATATATATATATATATATATATATATATATAGGTTTAAGTTATTTTGTTTTTACTAAGTATTGTGTGCCTGAATGTACAGATCTAGACCATCGCATGAAATTAATCGATGGATATGATTTGAGAATGTATGATATTACAATGGGGTAACTTGTACCATATAATCACACAATTTTTAGCAAAAGAGTATTTTGGACAAATAACTACATTTATAAAAGGAAATTTTCGGATTTTTAGGGATGATTAATTCTCGTAATTTAAAAAAAAAATCTAAATTTTTTAATTAATTCAATTTAAATTTTTACCGATTTTATTCTATCAGAATATTTTTTGTTAGAATTATACTCTTTCAGAATTTTATTCTACTAGAATATTATTGAAGAAAAACAAAATTCTTAAATCAGATGCTGAAAAATAACAAACATTCTAATATATTCTTATACATTTTAATATATTTATAAATATTCTAAAAGAATATCAAAAAAAATGAATAACATTCTTAAAAAATAACAGCATTCTGCTAGAGTACTCTCGTTCTCCATGTTTTTCTTCATTTTCCACATCAATGGCAGCCCCTTCAAAACCTAAATCCAAAAAAAAAAAAAAAAAACATAATCTACTTTAAAATAGTATAACTTTCAGTATATTCTAACAGAATAAAACTATAATTCTAACAGAATGTGTTAGACATTAAAGACTTTTAATTTATTCTGAGTCACTTGATCAAGTATTCCCCGAGCATCTGATCCAAATTATCGACTTAAACTAATTACAATGACTACATTGTAGCTAACACAGAGGACTATAAGTCTCACAAATGTTTCTGAACAAAGAGTGCTAAAAATATAGCTGTAACATCACATGTTCGAAGGATTATAAGTCAACCAGTATTAATCAAATTTAAATGACTTCTGAACCTAATTTGTAGCTAACACAAAGGAGAATATACAGAAACAAATTTCATATCATTACAAGCTAGTATAAGAGAGATATGATAGATCAAATATTACAAAAAAAATTGGTTGAACTATTTGATTCAAGCATTTTAACAAACATTTGGCGGACAAAATCAGATGACCAAATCTTTATACTCCATTTGATGAAACATACAACATATGTAATTAATAAATACATGAATGTGACTAAATTTACAATAAAAAAGATAATACAGTGGATACTTGGAAGCCGATTCCAGAATCTCTCATAGATCGAAGAACCCATCCATGGCTATCGCCAAAGTCATACGTGAAGAACACGTCGGTCGATTTCACGAATTTGTGGCTTCCGATGAAGACGATTTTAGATCTCGTTGGATTTAAGTGAAGAAGGAGTTTCAGCAAAAGAGATCGATTCGCAAGGCTGGACTGTTTTTCCTCTTTTCAATCGTGATCTCCTCATCAAGGATGAAGTTAAATCAAAGGATAATGAGATTCATGCTTCTGATTCTCTCACCATTTCATTACGGAAGTTGTTCATTGATAAACCATAAGAATCTTCTTCGTGTTCATCATCAGAAGCCGACAAATTGGAAGATCTACTTTCTAGAATTTTCTGTGTGTGGAGGCCTAAGACGGAAAGTAGATCATCACCTGTTATGAGGGTGAAGTAATCTACCGGGTCTCTATGTGTGTGTGGGTACTGTATGAGATGAAAAGGGAGCGTACAACCCTAATCTGGTGGGGGAGAGGTTTTAAATATGATATCTTAATTTAAAAGGGGATATTATTTAATTGTATCAATTTACCATTATTAATTATAGTATAGATTACTATTATACCCTTATATTTATTATTAATGATTGATTTATTTTTCCTAAATTCCTATTGGTGCATTCATGCACACA